GACTAGACTGTAGATAGTTAGGTGTGATTAGGGGGACCGACTAGACTGTAGATAGTTAGGTGTGATTAGGGGTACAGACTAGACTGTAGATAGTTAGGTGTGATTAGGGGGACCGACGAGACTGTAGATAGTTAGGTGTGATAAGGGGGACAGACTAGACTTAGATAGTTAGGTGTGATTAGGGGGACTGACTAGACTGTAGATAGTTAGGTGTGATTAGGGGGACAGACTAGACTGTAGATAGTTAGGTGTGATTAGGGGGACAGACTAGACTGTAGATAGTTAGGTGTGATTAGGGGGACAGACTAGACTGTAGATAGTTAGGTGTGATTAGGGGGACAGACTAGACTGTAGATAGTTAGGTGTGATTAGGGGGACCGACTAGACTACTGTTAGTTAGGGTGTGGCTAGGATGTTGTTAGGGTAGAGGTTAAAGGTGCTGTACCTCGGAGGTCTGGCCCGGACCAAACGTGATCTGGCTGGAGCTAGGTATGTAATCTTGTCCGGGGGTTGCAGAGGGTATGTCGTACAGTCTTGTGGCACACCACACTACTGTATTGTGGGCAAGGTCAGCACCACTGCGCAGCACATCAACCTCAACATCACCAGCATCCTCATCAAAGTGGAATTTCGGCAAGGCAAGGCGCACTATCGACACTGTCATACATACATAACAAACATCATCTTTAACAGATTTCATGAGAAAATTAGCAAATATCAAGACTTTACATGCATCGAAATTTCATTTAAACTAATGCTTCATAATTTTCCAAAAAGAAAAATTTCTTCACATAGTTTTGATTTTAATATTTTCTATAAATATTATATACCAATGACAAGAATTTGATGATTTTTAAGAAAAATAAATAATGTATACCATCGTTTGGTCCACTGATGACGACAGTTGCCTTGGTGACTGGCCCCAAACGACAGTTGGCTGAAGGATCAGAGATTGACAATTCAAACTGCTCTGCTGTCTCATATTCACTGTCATCCACAAGCTTGAAAATAAACCATAAAGGAATTAGTTAACTAATAGGTACATAAAACTACTTATATGTGTCTAGCTATATCTTAACATCAAAACATGGTGATAGAATTACAGAATAAATACACAAGATCATAATTATCTTCATAATTCACTTGTATGCATTGATCATCATTCAAAAAATAATATATCCAAGAGTCCTTGCCAGGAAAATAAATAACGACAGACAAGCATACACTAAAACAATGTACTTGTTTGTAAGGGATCAAATAAAGACTAATAAAACAATGTACTTGTTAGTAAGGGATCAAATAAAGACTAATAAAACAATGTACTTGTTTGTAAGGGATCAAATAAAGACTAATAAAACAATGTACTTGTTTGTAAGGGATCAAATAAAGACTAATAAAACAATGTACTTGTTTGTAAGGGATCAAATAAAGACTAATAAAACAATGTACTTGTTTGTAAGGGATCAAATAAAGACTAATAAAACAAGTGATATCTAAAAAAAACACCATCACTTATCTATATAAATAGGCATTTAATTTCTGAATGGGATAGAAGTTGACATTTCACTTACACATACAGTGTATTACAAAAAACTATGTGCTTACAGATTAACACAAATGTTTTATATGTAAAATCTGAAGGAGAAACAAAGCCAGAAAGAAAGCTATATAGAGAAGTACAAACAAACTGTTCATTCATTTGAAAAATGTAAAAAAAAAGCACCTCTTGTTTCTCTTTTCAAATTCTACTTCCTAAAGAACAATTGATCCATTTGGTGTGACTTAACACAGGATTCTTGTGAAAGCGACATCACTTGATACCAGGTATGTGTTAAACAGTCAGTAAATCACTCAGCCCTATATCTTCATCACCTACCTTAACTTGATACCAGGTATGTGTTAAACAGTCAGTAAATCACTCAGCCCTATCTTCATCACCTACCTTAACTTGATACCAGGTATGTGTTAAACAGTCAGTAAATCACTCAGCCCTATCTTCATCACCTACCTTAACTTGATACCAGGTATGTGTTAAACAGTCAGTAAATCACTCAGCCCTATCTTCATCACCTACCTTAACTTGATACCAGGTATGTGTTAAACAGTCAGTAAATCACTCAGCCCTATCTTCATCACCTACCTTAACTTGATACCAGGTATGTGTTAAACAGTCAGTAAATCACTCAGCCCTATCTTCATCACCTACCTTAACTTGATACCAGGTATGTGTTAAACAGTCAGTAAATCACTCAGCCCTATCTTCATCACCTACCTTAACTTGATACCAGGTATGTGTTAAACAGTCAGTAAATCACTCAGCCCTATCTTCATCACCTACCTTAACTTGATACCAGGTATGTGTTAAACAGTCAGTAAATCACTCGGCCCTATCTTCATCACCTACCTTAACTTGATACCAGGTATGTGTTAAACAGTCAGTAAATCACTCGGCCCTATCTTCATCACCTACCTTAACTTGATACCAGGTATGTGTTAAACAGTCAGTAAATCACTCGGCCCTATCTTCATCACCTACCTTAACTTGATACCAGGTATGTGTTAAACAGTCAGTAAATCACTCGGCCCTATCTTCATCACCTACCTTAACTTGATACCAGGTATGTGTTAAACAGTCAGTAAATCACTCGGCCCTATCTTCATCACCTACCTTAACTTGATACCAGGTATGTGTTAAACAGTCAGTAAATCACTCGGCCCTATCTTCATCACCTACCTTAACTTGATACCAGGTATGTGTTAAACAGTCAGTAAATCACTCGGCCCTATCTTCATCACCTACCTTAACTTGATACCAGGTATGTGTTAAACAGTCAGTAAATCACTCGGCCCTATCTTCATCACCTACCTTAACTTGATACCAGGTATGTGTTAAACAGTCAGTAAATCACTCAGCCCTATATCTTCATCACCTACCTTAACTTGATACCAGGTATGTGTTAAACAGTCAGTAAATCACTCAGCCCTATATCTTCATCACCTACCTTAACTTGATACCAGGTATGTGTTAAACAGTCAGTAAATCACTCAGCCCTATATCTTCATCACCTACCTTAACTTGATACCAGGTATGTGTTAAACAGTCAGTAAATCACTCAGCCCTATATCTTCATCACCTACCTTAACTTGATACCAGGTATGTGTTAAACAGTCAGTAAATCACTCAGCCCTATATCTTCATCACCTACCTTAACTTGATACCAGGTATGTGTTAAACAGTCAGTAAATCACTCAGCCCTATATCTTCATCACCTACCTTAACTTGATACCAGGTATGTGTTAAACAGTCAGTAAATCACTCAGCCCTATCTTCATCACCTACCTTCACTTCACAGGAAGCTGTGCTGATTCCCGGTGGAAAGACAACTCTGTAGAGATTGGTGTTTCCGCGGGTGATATAGTCGGAGCCGGACTGTAAGTGGGTTAGGTGACTCCCTCTCGCTGTGAGTGGTATGGTGAAACAGATGACCGACACACTTGACCCTATGTCACCTGTCACAGGTAAGATGGAACAAACTGTATAAGAATGCTGCGACCAAGTCAAATAGCTCGTATATATCTAATAACTACACCAAGACACCATCAACCTGCCATCTTAATTTCATTCTGCCTTATTAACATGTATCATTCCAGCTGTAGGATATTTAATTCTATACTTTAAACATTTAAAAAGCCTTTAATGGGGTCTAGAATGTTACTCAACTTGAGATGTCACATTACATCAAAACAAATTTATCTGTACATGTATTTATGCGTTTATTTTAATTTTATATTTGTAGTAATTGAATACTATTACTTTTATACAACAGAAGTCAAATTAGGACAACCCATTATACCACATTTCAACCAATACCTTTATCTGTAAAAAACTGACAACATCTTATACATTGTACAACATTTGACTATTACTATTGTCTGCGTTGTTTTGAGGGTCTGTGCTAGACACCAAACCATAATGATCAACACACCTGTCCTTGTAAGTATGGCAGACAGGTAACCATCGCTCTCATTGACATAGAAGATTGGCTGCTGGAACTGGATCACTGGTTCTGGCAAAAGAAGGATTCATATTTTTTAACTGCAGATTCTACTCGACACATCTTTTTGAAATAGCCAATCCAGTTGTTAATATTTTTATAAATGTTGAATATTTGAGGTTTCCTTTCATAACTAAATTTCATTTTCCATTTCAGTATTTCATCACCTGCTATAGTTTTGCTGACCTCTTTGACAGTTAAGGTTTTACCAGTAATGGACAGGGAGAGCACGTACCATCCTCTGTGTCGTAGATAGTGACCTGTGTGCGGGCACGGCTAGGACTGACAAGGGAGTACACCGGCTCCACCAGGTCTACGTAGAACCGCTCCGGCCCCTCGTAGATAGAATCGTCATTGACGATGATACTACACACCTTCGTCTCCTGCCACTCGTCAAACTGAACCTGGAGAAGTGGTATTGCAGACATGTTTAACGTTTCCATGTAACGATGGTGATCTCTCCATTTTATTACAGCTCCAGTCAATACATTGATGTCATAAAATCGTTTCAGATTTCAAATACATTGTATTTTATTTTCGACGTTGTATAAAATTTAGATTTCTAAATAATTGTTGTGTTGCTTTATATCCATTGACATTTTGTTCAATGAAGAAAACAAAATTTCTTTTAATAAAGGTAAAAATATTCTATAATTTTCTTTTTTTCTGCACTGCTGAACAAACCTGGCCAGAATGTTGGACAAAGTCATGTGTGCCAGGCCGGGCTCTGACATTCTCAGATGTGGCTTCCTCTGGTTGCGTCCTGCATGTCACTATGGAGTACTAGGTAACAAAGGTAGACAACTCCATTAGTTATACAGTAAGCACTTTGGTTTTAAATGAGCTGTTAGACCAAAAAATATTTACAAGTTGCACTATGAACTTTTGCAATGATTACATTAGCACTGAATTGTATGACTCGCCTGTTTCAGGTTACCTTTCCTCATCACAAGGTTTAGATAATGACTCACCTGTTTCAGGTTACCTGTCCTCGTCACAGGGGTTAGATAATGACTCACTTGTTTCAGGTTACCTGTCCTTGTCACAGGGTTTAGATAATGACTCACCTGTTTCAGGTTACCTGTCCTCGTCACAGGGTTTAGATAATGACTCACCTGTTTCAGGTTACCTGTCCTCGTTACAGGGTTTAGGTTATCACTCACCTGTTTCAGGTAAATTTTCTTCGTCACACGGTTCAGATATTGACTGAACTGTTTCAGGTTACCTGTCCTCGTCACAGGGTTTAGATAATGACTCACCTGTTTCAGGTTACCTGTCTTCGTTACAGGGTTGAGATTATGACTCACCTGTTTCAGGTTACCTGTCCTCGTCACAGGGTTTAGATAATGACTCACCTGTTTCAGGTTACCTGTCCTCGTTACAGGGTTTAGATAATGACTCACCTGTTTCAGGTTACCTCCGCTGTCCTTGTTACATGGTTTAGATAATGACTCACCTGTTTCAGGTTACTTGTCCTCGTTACAGGATTTAGATAATGACTCACCTGTTTCAGGTTACCATTCCTGTCACAGGGTTTAGATAATGACTCACCTGTTTCAGGTTACCTGTCCTTGTCATAGTGTTTAGATAAGGATTCACCTGTTTCAGGTTACCTGTCCTCGTCACAGGGTTTAGATTATGACTCCCCTGTTTCAGGTTACCTGTCCTCGTCACAGGGTTTAGATTATGCCTCACCTGTTTCAGGTTACCTGTCCTCGTCACAGTGTTTAGATTATGACTCAACTGTTTCAGGTTACCTGTCCTCGTCACAGTGTTTAGATTATGACTCAACTGTTTCAGGTTACCTGTCCTCGTCACAGGGGTTAGATAATGACTCACCTGTTTCAGGTTACCTGACCTCATCACAGGGGTTAGATAATGACTCACCTGTTTCAGGTTACCTGACCTCATCACAGGGGTTAGATAATGACTCACCTGTTTCAGGGTACCTGTCCTCGTCACAGGGTTTAGATAATGACTCACGTGTTTCAGGTTACCTGTCCTCGTCACAGTGTTTAGATAATGACTCACCTGTTTCAGGGTACCTGTCCTCGTCACAGGGTTTAGATAATGACTCACGTGTTTCAGGTTACCTGTCCTCGTCACAGTGTTTAGATTATGACTCAACTGTTTCAGGTTACCTGTCCTCGTCACAGTGTTTAGATTATGACTCAACTGTTTCAGGTTACCTGTCCTCGTCACAGTGTTTAGATTATGACTCAACTGTTTCAGGTTACCTGTCCTCGTCACAGTGTTTAGATTATGACTCAACTGTTTCAGGTTACCTGTCCTCGTCACAGTGTTTAGATAATGACTCACCTGTGTCAGGTTACCTGTCCTCGTCACAGGGTTTAGATGATGACTCACCTGTTTCAGGTTACCTGTCCTCGTCACAGTTTTTAGATAATGACTCACCTGTTTCAGGTTACCTGTCCTTGTCATAGGGTTTAGATAAGGATTCACCTGTTTCAGGTTACCTGTCCTCGTCACAGTTTTTAGATAATGACTCACCTGTTTCAGGTTACCTGTCCTCGTCACAGTGTTTAGATAATGACTCCCCTGTTTCAGGTTACCTGTCCTTGTCACAGGGGTTAGATAATGACTCACCTGTTTCAGGGTACCTGTCCTCGTCACAGGGTTTAGATAATGACTCACGTGTTTCAGGTTACCTGTCCTCGTCACAGTGTTTAGATTATGACTCAACTGTTTCAGGTTACCTGTCCTCGTCACAGGGGTTAGATAATGACTCACCTGTTTCAGGTTACCTGTCCTTGTCACAGGGGTTAGATAATGACTCACCTGTTTCAGGTTACCTGTCCTCGTCACAGGGATTCTGATCACTCCCGCTGATTCTGTGATGTTCGTCACCTGCTGCTCAAAGCTTATTACAGACCACATGATGTGGAACTCGTTATCAGGAATATGGTTCGGCTTCTTATCCATGAGGTCAAAGGTGAAACTGTCCTCCATTTCTGTAACATCTCCCGTCAAAACATACTGGATCTGTCCATTGTTGACATCCTCTGGAAATTCAGATGACTTATTTCAGTGGCATACTGATTACATAGTATCATAACAGGATTCTCCAGATATAAGTAGGCAGTATCAGATTTTACACAAAATTCAGTAACCGTGAGTATGTACCTTGAGTGAAAGAATAGATGGCCACAGTGGGGTTGGACGTTTTCTCCAGTCGACCGTGACGTGGTGTGTGGGTGACTAGGAACACAAGATCGGAGGGGGAAGTGTCGATGTCCACAGCTTGTAACTCCCGAAATGTAATCAGATTATAGGCCTGGAAAACAAATGTTTATAGTGACAATACTATCATCTGGCCTCGGTTATACAAGTCTGCAAATGTCGACATGTATCTTAGTGTAGGCTCCCTTAGTATACACACTCTCATTGGCTGTTACGAACGGTAGCTATTCCACCATAGAACTTATTGAAATATACTTCCTATCATTATTTGTAAAAGAAGTAGATGTTATTGCTTGAAACCTGTTTGAAATATTTATTGAATTTAGAGTACATTATAAGAAAAAGTATTGGTGTGTCTGAGTACATTAGCCAAACTTACGTTGCCATCAGAGAGTTCCAGGAACTGAAGACCTCGGTTGACTTCCAGTACTGGACTGCCATCATCCATAGGTAAAATCTCTATCTGAAATTCCTGTAAAATAAAAAGGCATCATTTCAAAAACAGAAAAACCTTTATGGTACAGCCCCCTAACAACAACCTCTATGGTACAGCCCCTTAACAGCAACCTCTATGGTACAGCCTCCTAACAACAACCTCTATGGTACAGCCCCTTAACATCAACCTCTATGGTACAGCCTCCTTACAACAACCTCTATGGTACAGCCCCTTAACAACAACCTCTATGGTACAGCCCCCTAACAACAACCTCTATGGAACAGCCCCCTAACAACAACCTTTATGGTACAGCCCCTTAACAACAACCTCTATGGAACAGCCCCCTTACAACAACCTTTATGGTACAGCCCCCAAACAACTGCCTCTTTGGTACAGCCCCCAAACAAAAACCTCTGTGGTATAGCCCCCTAACAACAACCTTTATAGTACAGCCCCCTAACGACAACCGTTATGGTACAGCCCCCTAACAACAACCGTTATGGTACAGCCCCCTAACAACAACCATTATGGTACAGCCCCCTAACAACAACCGTTATGGTACAGCCCCCTTACAAACTACATTGTTTGCAACATTTTTTCACCAGATAACCTACCCCAGGGTCTGACTGTGGTAAACACCAGATAACCTACCCCAGAGTCTGACTGTGGTAAACACCAGATAACCTACCCCAGGGGCTGAGCGTGATAGACACCAGATAACCTACCCCAGGGGCTGACTGTGGTAGACACCAGATAGACTGTGGGAGTCACCAGATAACCTACCCTAGGGGCTGACTGTGGTAGACACCAGATAACCTACCCCGGGGGTTGACTGTGGTAGACACCAGATAACCTACCCCAGAGGCTGACTGTGGTAAACACCAGATAACCTACCCCAGGGGGTGACTGTGGTAGACACCAGATAACCTACCCCAGAGGCTGACTGTGGTAGTCACCAGATAACCTACCCCAGGGGCTGACTGTGGTAAACACCAGATAACCTACCCCAGGGGCTGACTGTGGTAGACACCAGATAACCTACCCCAGGGGCTGACTGAGGTAGACACCAGATAACCTACCCCAGGGGCTGACTGTGGTAAACACCAGATAGACTGTGGTAGTCACCAGATAACCTACCCTAGGGGCTGACTGTGGTAGATACCAGATAACCTACCCCAGAGGCTGACTGTGGTAGTCACCAGATAACCTACCCCAGGGGCTGACTGTGGTATACACCAGATAACCTACCCAAGGGGGCTGACTGTCGGAGTCACCAGATAACCTACCCCAGGGGCTGACTGTCGTAAACACCAGATAGACTGTGGTAGTCACCAGATACCCTACCCTAGGGGCTGACTGTGGTAGACACCAGATAACCAGGGGCTGACTGTGGTAGACACCAGATAACCAGGGGCTGACTGTGGTAGACACCAGATAACCTACCCCAGGGGCTGACTGTGGTAGACACCAGATAACCTACCCCAGAGGCTGACTGTGGTAGTCACCAGATAACCTACCCCAGGGACTGACTGTGGTAGACACCAGATAACCTACCCCAGGGGCTGAGTGTGGTATACACCAGATAACCTACCCAAGGGGGCTGACTGTCGTAGTCACCAGATAACCTACCCCAGGGGCTGACTGTGGTAGTCACCAGATAACCTACCTAAGGGGCTGACTGTAGTAGACACCAGATACCCTACCCCAGGGGGATGACTGTGGTAGACACCAGATAGACTGTGGTAGACACCAGATACCCTACCCCAGGGGGATAACTGTGGTAGACACCAGATAGACTGTGGTAGACACCAGATAGACTGTGGTAGTCACCAGATAACATACCCCAGGGGCTGACTGTGGTACACACCAGATAATCTCCACCAGGGGCTGATTGTGTTAGTCACCATTTAGCCAACCCCAGGGGCTGACTGTTGTAGACACCAGATAACCTACCCCGGGGCTGACTGTGGTAGACACTAGATAACCTACCCCAGGGTCTGACTGTGGTAGACACCAGATAACCTGCCCCAGGGGCTGACTGTGGTAAACACCAGATAACCTACCCCAGGGACTGACTGTGGTAGACACCAGATACCCTACCCAAGGGGGATGACTGTGGTAGACCCCAGATAGACTGTGGTAGTCACCAGATAACATACCCCAGGGGCTGACTGTGGCAGACACCAGATAACCTACCCCTGGGGCTGACTGTGGTAGTCACCAGATAACCTACCCAGGGGCTGGCTGTGGTAGACACCAGATAACCTACCCCAGGGGCTGATTGTGGTAGAAAAATGTCTCCTCTGTGGTGATCTCTCTGCATGGCAAACATGGAGGTTGAGCCATCTGTTACAGTGAAAGAGAAGTTATCTTCCCTTGTCTCAGAACCATCATGTTGGTAACTGACTCGGCTGTCATAGATGTCCAGCATGGTGAAGGTCAATGTTGTTCGGAACTCATCACCATCCTGAAGGTCAAGGCTGCCATGGAGAGGTAGCTGAATAACTTTGAATAAAATATGGTCCTCCTGTGGAAGAAATTGTTGAAGGAAATTACATAAATCCCTTGATCATGTTCCTCATTACACAATAACATCAATCCCTTGATCATGTTCCTCATTACACAATAACATCAATCCTTTGAACATGTTTCTCATAACACAATAACATCAATCCCTTGATCATGTTCCTCATTACACAATAAGATCAATCCCTTGATCATGTTTCTCATTACACAATAACATCAATCCCTTGATCGTGTTTCTCATTACACAATAACAGCAACCCCTTGATCACGTTTCTCATTACACAATAACATCAACCCCTTGATCATGTTCCTCATTACACAATAACACCAATCCCTTGATCACGTTTCTCATTACACAAAAACATCAATCCCTTGACCATGTTCCTCATTACACAATAACAGCAATCCCTTGATCATGTTTCTCATTACACAATAACAGCAATCCCTTGATCACGTTTCTCATTACACAATAACATCAATCCCTTGATCATGTTCCTCATTACACAATAACAGCAATCCCTTGATCATGTTTTCATACACAATAACAGCAATCCCTTGATCATGTTCCTCATTACACAATAACATCAATCCCTTGTTCATGTTTCTCATTACACAATAACAGCCATCACTTGATCATGTTCCTCATTACACAATAACAGCAATCCCTTGATCATGTTTCTCATTACACAATAACAGCAATCCTTTTATAAATTATACAATTATATTGATTCTTAATCATATTTCTCAATTTACAATGTGGGGTTAAAAAATAAGCAATTTAAAAATAACTTGTTACCTGAAAAGAATTAAACATTTAGAATATTTCAAGTGTAGAGGTAGGGCGGGTTGACAACTGGTGACCAGATAGCTCATTGGTAAGGGTGTCCCCTAGGGTTTGGAGGTCTGGAAATCCCGGTCTGGCCCCATTTCATTTCCCTGTTCTGTTACCTTGGTGCCATCATAACTTGTTTCAATTTGTGTGTAAATGGACAAAATAAGAAATGTTAAATTTACCCTTGTGTCCTTGTCTACAGCCTTAAGGTCAAACTCTGTGATGACCTTGCGGATCCCCTCCTGGACCCTCATCCCGTTGTTGGTGACGACAGGAATCTCATCATCTACAGGGTTGATGGCAATGCTGAATTTGTGTGTCACCTAAAATATAATATATAGACTCAGATACATATAGATCTGCAGGATATTTTTCTTTCTAGAGTTTGAACATTTGAAAATGTATTTACCTGCTACTCAACAATCACGCGAGAAATAGAGTGATTACAATGTATTTGACAAATGAATTAGCTAACATTCTGAAGATGTTACATATGTAAGTTCCATATTTCTCGGTAAGCCTTTTCTCAGTCTTACCCCATTAGTACCTTTCCTCAGTCTTACCTCATTAGTACTTTTCCTCAGTCTTACCTCATTAGTATCTTTCCTCAGTCTTACCTCATTAGTACCTTTCCTCAGTCTTACCTCATTAGTACCGTCAGTGACAGTGAAGGTGAAGCGGTCACTGTAAACCTCCTTCGGACTGTCGTGGACATACAACACACAGCTAGCAGCCAGATCTGACTGAGTGAACTCTGATATTGGCACTCCTGTTAAATCATAACGGTCACCCTTGATTACAATCTACATATATATAAATACATCTTTATCAGAACAATTCTCAAGTCATAAACCATTATACAGAATGGATTTTGAATAGTGTTCATTCAAAGTTTAACAATAGTCCTGAAAACTTTCATATCAGTGTTTTGATATATTCCAAAGAGAATAATCTTCCGAATTGTATAAGTTGAAAAATAACTTCATTTGACAGCTACACTTTTAACAACAAGATAAGCCTACTAGCATTGGTAATCTGTCTACCTTGGTTGTCTGTGAGCTCTAAGTGTCCTAACAGTGGGGCGGACAGCAGGAAGTACTGTAGTGATCCAGGCTCCGAATCCACATCAGTAAATGACAGGTGGTCGGTGGTGATCTTCACGTCAGCCCCCTCAGACACGACAAGCTCCCTGTTAGCTAGCATCTGTGGTGGGATACGGTCCTCTAAAATAAACATCAATCAATTTACAGCACAATCATTTATATCATTGCCAGGTTGTATTTTGAAAAGATGTATTTTATACTATATGAAGCTAGGTTAAAAAATTACTTTTTAACCTCTGTGGAGCTATAGTGAAAATCTTTTATCCTCTACAGAGCTGCAACCTCTATATAGCTGTTGAAGGTGAATGGTCTTGAAGCCATTCAAATTATGTCAAAATCAACTATTACGCCATTCCAAACTACATGTAGTAGCGTTTTGAAGAAAAGAAGAAAAAAGTTTATGATAGACAGACGGACACTGTGTCATGACATAAGTTCATTCACACTTCGGGCAGCTAAGTGGAATATCTGTTAGTGACTGGATTTAATACAAACCTAGCACTGTTATGTAGAATATTTGGTCAATAAGAAGATTGCCCTCTGGGTCTGACACATCAAATTTAAAGGTAACCACACCAGTTGTCTCCCCTGCCATGTTTTGGTAGTCAAGGAGACCATTATCAATGTCTGCCTGGTAGAAGTGTCTGATTGGTCCATGGATGGAGACAGTCTGTGGTTCAGGGTTACCAGATCGGTTGAGTCGTAGTCGACCATTCACAGGATCCCTTTTGATTATGTACCTTATACGAGCATCATTAGAGTCGATGTCTGTAGCCTGCAAGTCCTTAGACTTAATAGGAGTTATAGACCCTAGAATATAAAACACCAGTGTTAGCTTCTTGTGTGACAGGAGTGCTCATAATCTCAAACACTAAAGGAGTGCTAACAATCACAAACGCTAAAGGAGTGCTAACAATCTCAGACACTAAAGGAGTGCTAACTATCACAAACACTAAAGGAGTGCTAACCATCTCAAACACTAAAGGAGTGCTAACAATCTCCGACACTAAAGGAGTGCTATCAATCACAAACACTAAGGGAGAGCTAACAATCTCAAACAATAAAGGAGTGCTAACTATCACAAACACTACAGGAGTGCTAACAATCAACAATACGAAAGGAGTGCTAACAATCGCAAACGCTAAAGGAGTCCTAACAATCTCAGACACTACAGGAGTGCTAACAATCACAAATGCTTAAGGAGGGCTAACAATCTCAAACACGAAAGGAGTGCTAACAATCAACAATACGAAAGGAGTGCTAACAATCAACAATACGAAAGGAGTGCTAACAATCAGAAACACTAAAGGAGGGCTAACAATCTCAAACAATAAAGGAGTGCTAACAATCTCAGACACTAAAGGAGTACTAACAATCACAAACACTAAAGGAGTGCTAACAATCTCAAACACTAGAGGAGTGCTAACAATCACAAACACTAAGGGAGTGCTCACAATCAGAAGCACTACAGGAGTGCTAACAATCACAAATATGGAAGGAGTGCTAACAATCTCAAACACTAAAGGAGTGCTACCAATCACAAACACTAAGGGAGTGCTAACAATCTCAAACACTAAAGGAGTGCTAACAATCACAAATGCTTAAGGAGTGCTAACAATCAGAAACACTAAAGGAGGGCTAACAATCACAAACACTAGAGGAGTGCTAACAATCTCAAACACTAAAGGAGTGCTAACAATCACAAACGCTAAAGGAGTGCTAACAATCACCAATACGAAAGAAGTGCTAACACTCACCAATAATGCTAAATTTAATACAAAACTATCTTAGAAACATCAGTGTCTTTTTTTCCAATAATGTATTTTTCCTGATTTATAATTTCAATATTTTTTCCCGATTTATTATTTCAATAATATATCTTACGTTATTTACAAAATAAATGCCTTGTATAAAATATTGTCAGCAACCTGAAATATAGCAGTTATGACTATGTACCTGAGTTCACCCTAAGACCTCTGTTTATTGATATCCGTGGAGTTTCATCATTCACCATGCCAATTATAACGGATAGCGTTTTCTTGTCGGTAAACTCTCCGTCAGTGAGCGACAAAGTGAAGGTGTCGCTGGGAAGCTCCCCGCCATCATGACGGTATACCAAGAGTTCATCAAGTACATCCTTGAATGACAGGGTAAAAGAAATAAAAATAACATTTTAATTTGGACAGCAAATCAAACAAACAACTGTACAAGGTCACCTATTTCACCTTTGTCCAACAGTACTACTATGGAAAATATCAACAAAAATACTTTGATATATTTTAATTGAAAGGCCATCTATCTCAATTTTTATATACACAAGAAAAAAAATGTTTTATGGAAAAGAATATTGTTGTGTAAAAAATATAGTAGTAAAGAGTTGATTCAAAAGAAAAAAAAAGAACTTTTCTTTCAAAATCCTATTATAAACAAGAGGCCCATGGGCCTTAACGGTCACCTGATATATTTATACAGAGAGTTGATTTCGTTTTTAACATGAACAGAAATATTATTCAAAGTGACAAAAAACAATAAAACCACCTTATTCAATATCAAGCATACAGATTTCAGACTAAAAAGGATTTGAAACTAGCACCTCTGATTCTAAACAAGGAAAATGAAGAAATTTTAGCACACTGACTCCCTTGAGCCCCACCCTACAGCCCTTGGGGGTAGGGCTGGCTCAAAATTTTCAAAGTATCAAACTGTCAACTCAAGGTTATAATTCCAATCAAGTTATTAACATGTAATA